CAAAATCAAGAGTCAGATGCTTAACTGACTGAGCCACCCAGGTGCCCTGGATCATATTTGTTTTTAATTTTTATATTTCCAGTATAACTGGCAACAAATACATTAGTTTCCTTAATTTGAGAATGTCTTGATTTTCCCTTCATTCTCAAGGGATATCCTTACTGGATACAGACTTCTGAGTTGACAGTTCTTTTCATTTGGCACTTTAAAAATAGTGCCATTTTCTTCTGGCCACCATGGTTTCTGATGAGAAATCTACTGTCTTTGAGTGTTTTTTCCCTTATAGCTAAGGTATCATGTCTCTCTGACTGCCTTCACAATTTTATTTCTTTTTTGTTAGTTTTCAGAAGTTTAACTAGAACATGTGTTGGTGTACTTTTTTTCTTTTTAGCTATTATTATTGCATTTATTATTGCTACTACTATTATTAATGACAACAGAGTACCGAGAAGGGCGGAAGACCCCAGAATACTTTGTGTGTTTATCTTCCTCATTATCAAAGCTTAAAGAAACATCTAGTTTAAACAAGAAGTTAAATTATTTTTATGAAAAGCAAAACCAAAACAATACTTATTTTCTCCCAAAATTGGGTTTTTAAAGTTAAAAAAGACAGTAGATGTGTTGGTGTATTTCTTGCAGTTTACCCTGTTTGGGGTTCACTCAGTTTCTTGAATCTGTAGTTTTATGTCTTTTGTCAAATTTGGGAAATTTTCAGCCATATTTCTTCAAATACTCCTTCAGTCCCACCCTCTTCCTCCTCTCCTCCTGGGACCCCAATGACATGAATGTTATATATTTTGTTATAGTCCCCTGGGCCCCTGAGACTGTTCTTTTTTTTCAGTCTGTTTTCTCTCTTTTATTCATATTAAATAATTTCTATTATTCTATTTTCGAGTTCTTTCCTCTGTCCCTTCATTCTGCTATTGAGCCCATCCACTGAATTTTTAAATTTCTTTTACTATATTTTTCAGTTCTCAAATCTCCATTTGGTTCTACTTTATATCTTCTATTTCTTTGCTAAGATTTTGGGGTTTTTTTTTTCCCCCCAGCATGTCTATAATTGCTTATTAAAACATTTCTATGATAGCTGCTTTAAAATCTTTGTCCAGTGGATGAATCTAGAAGACATTATGCTAAGTGAATAAGAAGCCAGTCATAAAAAGGATTGTGTATAGGATTCTACCTATATGAGGTATCTAGAGTAGTCAAATACCTAGAGACAGAAAGTAAAATGGTGGTTTCCAGAGAATGCGATGAGGGGTGGTAATAGGAGTTACTGTTCCATGGGTACAGAGTTTCAGTTTGAAGATGAAAAACTTCTGGAGATGTGTGTTGGTAATAGTAATGGCTGCACAACACTGTGACTGTACTTAATGTCACTGAGTGGTACACTTAATATATGTTATGTATATTTTACCACAATAAAAAAAGTCTTAGTCAGACAACTAACATTTTATATCACTTATAACTGAGAACTAACATCAGTGAGCATCATCTTACTTTGTCTGTTGATTGTCTTTCATACCAGTTGAGATTTCACTGGTTCTTGTATACCAAATGATTTTCCACTGAAACTTGAACATTTTGAGTATTCTGTAATCAGACTCGGGATTTCATTTAAATCTTCTGTTTCACTAGGCCTCCTCCGACACATCTCTCAAAGGGGAAGGGAAGCAGAGCTTTGTTACTGCCAGCTGGGGGATGTAAGCCCAGATTCTCCACTTGGACTCTGTTGACACCTGGTGCGGTGAGAAGTTCACTACTTCTGGGCTAAGACTTCTGGCCCTTTACTTAGTGGGAAGAATAACATCTCCTCCATCTTTCCAGAAGTGGCAGTCTCCAGAACTGCTTTTTGAGAACAGAGCTTTTATGCAGGAAAACTGTTATAGCAGTGTTCTCTAAAACATTTTTTAAAAATCTGGGTGGCTCGGTTGGTTAAGCATCTGACTCCTGATTTTAGCTTAGGTCATGACCTCAGGATTGTGAGATTGAGCCCTTTGTCGGGCTCCATGCTCAGCAGGGATTCTGCTTGAGATTCTCTCCCTCTCCCTCTACTCCTCCCTGTCCCAGGCTCTCTCTCGCTCAAATAAATAAATCTTAAAAAAAAAAAATCTTAAACTACCTAAATGTCTAGGATTAGGGAATTTTTTAAATTTTTTAAAGATTTTATTTATTTACCAGAGAGAGAGCATGAGAGTGCACAGAGGGAGAGGGAGAAGCAGACTCCCGCTGAGCAGGGAGCCTGATGTGGGGCTCGATCCCAGGACCCTGGGATCAAACGCCCAACCAACTGAGCCACCCAGGCACACCGGGAATTTTTTTTTTTAAGGAACAGCAATTCATTGAAATATGATGCAGTCATCAAAAATGCACGTGACAGAAACCTCTGTTTCTGGCTTTAACACAATAACTGGTACCAAACATGTCCTTCTATCATAAGTAGTAAAATAGAAAAAAATATGAAACAAACTGCTTTCAGACACTGAAAGCAGAATACTTTGATCTCTGAAATGAAGGAAACAAATGGGGTGAGCCCTATGATCACCCTAAATATTTGCCTATCGATAACTTTTGAACTGCAAGTGCTGGAAGGGGGAACCCAAACAGAGCCTTGCTGGACTGAAGAGACAGAAAAATCAGAATGGGGAGACTGGATAGGTGGAAAATGTGGAGCAGAGTTCCAGAATGGGAATTATGCATAAGAAAAGCACTGGAAATCTGCCCAGGAATCCCTTTGAGTCTAGTGCTAAAAACCAAACTGTGCAAATATAGGAGGAAACTCCACAGGCCAGGCAAAAAGTATCTGAGGAGCGATGGGCTGAATGGTTCCCAGAGCTCAGTAGGACTTAGAGGTGTCTGAATTCCAAACAACGAAAATGGAAAGCCCTCACTGATCATTAGGGACATTTGGCAGCAACAAAAGGGCCACACTTCAGTAGAAGGGCTAAACTATCTCTAGAACAGAGTTTCTCAACAGTTGACATTTTGCACCAGGTAATTCTTCATTGCTGGACGCTATCCTGTGCATTGTAGGATGTTTAACAGCATCCCTGGCCTCTGCCCAGTAGTTGTCAATGGTACCCACCGTCTAGTCCTGACAATCCAAAATGTCCACACACTGCCAAATGTCCCATGGTGGGGCAAAGCTGCTCCTGAGAGCCACTGCTCTGGAATAAAGGTTACTCCACCCCCACCCTAATCAAGCTTAAAAAACAAGGTTCCAAAGAATCTAATTGAACCAAAGGAATATATGACTATCTGACTGTTAAAAGAAAATGCACTTACAAAGTTGATGCTCATTCATAATAAAAACTCTGAGTAAAGTAGGACTAGAAGGGAACTTCCTCAACCTCAATGATGGACATCTACAAAAAGCCCACCAGGTGGTGGAAGACTGAATGCTTTCTCCCTAAGATTAAGAACAAGGAAAGGCTATATATAGCGAAATTGTTCTAACAGTTTTAGCCAGTGCAATAAGAAAAGAAAAAGCAGTCTACACGATGGGGACAGGAATGGAAAAAATACAACTCTTTATTTACTGATGTCTGTGTAGAAAATCTTGACAGGTTAGAAAAACATTTCTAGATTTAATATGCAAATTTAGAAAAGTCAAGATACAAAAGTCAGTTACACTTCTATATTCTAGCAACAAACAAATAGAAATTGAATTTCAAAAACAACAGCATTCAGAATAGCACCCCAAAAACATAAATCATTTAGGGATAAATTTAACAAGATACATGTAAGAAACCCACATGTTGAAACCTATAAAACATGACTGAGGGAAAGAAATAAGACCCAGATAAATGAAAGAAGATATAAATGAAAGAAGATCTAAATGCTCATGGGTCAAAAGGACTTGTATTCAGAATATTAAAAGAACTACTAAAATTCAATACAAATAAACAACTTAAATTTAAAAATAAGCAAAAGCATTGAACAAACCTTTCAAAAAGAAGGATGCAGATGACCAAAAAGCAGAAAAAAGACATTCAACATCTCAGGCATCAGGAAAATACAAATGAAAGCCACAATGATATATCACAACATAACTGTCATTAGGATAACTAAAATTTAAGACTGAAAATATCAAATGTTAGAAAAAGTGTGGAGCGAACTGGAACTCTAACACCTTGGGGAAAGAATATAAAAGATGCAATCACAATGGAAAATGATTTGACAATTTCTTAAAAAGTTAAGCATATGACCCAAAGATTATATTCTCCTCCTAGTTACTTAGAGAGAGAGAGAGAGAGAGAGAGAAAGCCTGTGTTCATCCAAAAGTCTAGCACACAAATGCTTATAGTTTATTTTCAATAGCCAAAAACAAGGAGCAACCCAAATGTCCATCAATGAGTGAATGGATAACCAAATCGTGGAAAACCCACACTATGAAATACTATGCAGCAATAAAAAGGACTATTGATTTGGGTCCAAAAACATTATGATGAACAAATGGAGCCAGACACAAAATGAGTACACACTGTATAACTTCATTTACATGATGTGGGGGGACATCATCAAAAAGACATGACTGCCAAATGACCCGTGAGCTGGACCCTGGCACTCAGAGGCTCCTCACCCCCTCCTGTCCTTGGGATGTAGGTTCTGCTTGTCTTTCCTGCTCCCACAGACTGCTCCAAAGATACAGATTTGAGATAATGATGTGGTGTTGAAAACACCTGCACGGTATACTGAGGACAGTTAGGGCCTCTTTATAAACTTCTAAGATTTGGAGGGCAGCTGAGGGGATCCATTTGTCTTGTTGCCGCCCAAGACAAGCCCCACAGGTAAGTTCCCTTTGCTTAGTAAAATTGCCACCTACCAACCTGGAGTGGCCTGCCCCTTTCTTCCATCTCTCCCTGCCTCCCGCGTACAGGGCCCATTTCAGATTACAGCTGGGAGGCTCCCGAGAGGGTTGAAGACCAACATATGAAACTCAAGTAATTTAAGATTAATCTAATCTGTAGTGACATAAAGTAAATTGGTCATTGCCTACAGACAGGTGTGTGGGACTGGGATTAATTGGGAAGGGACACGAGGGAACCAGAACTTTTCGTGGTGACAGAAATGGTTTACATCTAGATTGTGGAGGTGGTCATGTGGGTGTGCATATTCATCAAAATTGATCAGATGCTTTATTATATGTAAATCATATGTAAACTGTAACTCAAAAATGATTTTATTTTTATTTATTTGAAACAAAGAGAGAGTATGTGCACAAGCAGAGGTGGGGTGGAGGAGCGGCAGAGGGAGAGGGAGAAGCAGGCTCCCCGCTGAGCAAGGAGCCCAACGTGGGGCTCAATCCCAGGACCCTGCGATCATGACCTGAGCCAAAAGCAGACGCTTAACCGACTGAGCCCCCCAGGCGCTCCTAGAAACCCTTTTAAGATGAGCACATAAAAGAATGCTGAATCATAAAAAAACTCAAATAGTAACAGTAAGCGAAAATATAAAATTGGAAACTGTACATATACTGCAATTATAACTTTATAAAGATAGCATGGGGAAAACAGCTGACATACGCAGTGTAGTAATGTGGGTTGTTTTTTTTTTTAATTTTCTGAAATCTATAAATTTCTGAGCTATTATTTGTGAAATGAAGATGATGCTAAAATAAAACCAAAGCCAAAACCAAAACAAAAGCTAAGGATAGAAACAAAAAAAGAGAACCAATAAAAAAAGAACTGGCATATAACAAATACCTGTTTTCCTCCTTTATCCTTCCCATAGAAGAGAAAAAAGATGTGTCTAATCTTTGAGAAAAAGGCATGCAATTTTGACAAAAATCAAAACTCAACTCACCTGAAACTTGGTCATTTTCTCCTGCTGCTTCTGGGAGAGGGCAGAGTCCTGGGAAGGCAGAACTGACAAAGAAAAAAGCCATGAGACGTAGGCCCTGCCCAGATGGCTGCTCTGTGGGAATTGTAAACAAATCTGTGCCTCAAATCTGTCACCTACAAAAGTGCATAATAGTGCTTCCCTCATGGGACTGTTGTGAGGGTCAACATGTGAGTAGAGGGAGAAACTCTTATAGCTGATTCCCCTGCAGCTGCAAAAAAAAGTAGGTGATGTAACAAAATTATGATTATATATATATGTATATAAATATATAAATTTATAATCATAAATTTGTCTTTGCAAATGTCTTCTGCCATCATTTCCAGTAAAGGAGTCTTTTATAAGACATCCAGATTTCAGAGCCTGTTCAATTCTTTCCTTCTATCTATTTATCCATCTATTATTTAAGTAAACTCTACCCCCAATGTGGGGCTTAAACTCATAACCCTGAGATCAGGAGTCACACACTGCACCGACTGAGCCAGCCAGACGCCCCTTACAATTCTTAGTCTTAAGAAATTCACCTTTGGGGCGCCTGGGTGGCTCAGTCGTTAAGCATTTGCCTACGGCTCAGGTCGTGATCCCAGGGTCCTGGGATCAAGTCCCGAGTCAGGCTCTGCTGGAGATTCTCTCTCTCTCCCTCTGCTCCTTCTCCTGCTCTCTCTCAAATAAATAAAATCTTTTAAAATACTCAAGTAGGGGGCGCCTGCGTGGCTCAGTCGGTTAAGCATCTACCTTCTGCTCAGGTCATGATCCCGGGGTCCTGGCATCGAGCCCCGCGTCAGGCTCCCTGCTCAGCGGGAAGCCTGCTTCTCCCTCCCCCACTCCCCCTGCCTGTGTCCCCTCTCTCGCTATCTCTCTCTCTGTCAAATAAATAAATAAAATCTTTAAAATAAAAAAGAAAGAAATTCACCTTTATCTCTGAAAGCCCATAATCTGACTGGCTATATTACTTAATAACCTGTTGTCTTGAAATGATGTTTAATTGACATCAGTATCTGGTTTTGTAGGAGGTTTGAATACTTGAGTTTTCCTCACGCAGCTAGAAGAGTCTCAGTGGTAACTGCTCCTCTCCTATGCTCACTGTAGTAAGGAAAAACTAATTAAAATTAGGACTTCTAGATGTTTTCATTTGAAACAAAAACTTGACAGTCTCTTATTTAAATGAATAGTGTTGCTCTGGGGATTACGTGAGCAAGTCTAGCAAAGCTGCCTAAGCAAATCCAGAGACAGAAAGTGAATTAGTGGTTGCAAGGGGCTCAGAGAGCAGGGAGTGAGGGGTGATAGCTAAGAGGTGGGGGGTTTCTTTTTGGGGTGATGAAAATGTTCTGGAATTAGATAGTGGTCGTGGTCATACAACCTTGTGAATATACGTTAAAAGGGTAAATGGTATGATATGTGAAATACACCTAAAGTTCAAAAAACAGCAAAAAAAGAAAAAAGCCCTGGCTCAGTGCCTGGCACATTATATAAACTCTCAATAAGTGATGATATGATGATTATTGCTCCCATGTAATGGATGAGGAAGAGGGGGATTCACAAGATTAAGTTACTGAAGGTCCCAGAGCTTATGAGAGATGACAATGGACCTGAATCCAACTTTGACTCCAGAGCTCGTGTTTTTATATGGTCTCCGTGTTTCTAACCACAAACATGAAGAGGACGTAGGAAGGCTGTCCCTTGGGATGAGAGAAAGGGGAGACCGAGGGCACAGGTCTGCTGAAAGTGATCTGCTGGGAGATACTGGAGCCAGTTAGTCAGGATTCTACCATCGACTCTTCTGACTTCCTAGCTCTTTGTGCCTCTTTCTACATCTGTAAGATAGGATCATAACAGTATCTAGCATCTATAGAGTTGTTAGGAGGTTTCCATGAACACAACACACACAAATAAGCATCCAATATGTGGCATCCACTCATGTTCGTGGCTCTTCCTACTTCAGACAGAAGTACTCGAGTAGAGGGGTGCCTGCGTGGCTCAGTCAGTTAAGCTTCTGCCTTCAGCTCAGGTCATGATCTCAGGGTCCTGGGATCGAGCCCCGCATCGGGCTCCTTCCTCAGCAGGAGGCCCGCTTCCTCCTCTCCCTCTACCCCTCCCTTCCACTTGTGTTCTCTCTCTCTCTCAAATAAATAAATAAAATCTTAAAAAAAAAAAAAAAAAAGAAGTACTCGAGTAGAGATGAGAGCAATGGATCCACTTCTCAAAACCTGGACAAAATCTCAATTCATAACACCAATTCCGTTGTGCTGGCCCTCTTTCTGCCTCCCTCTACTGCTCTGCTCAGTAACAGGGTTTTGCAAGGAGACCTGACATTTCACAGTGTTTAGTGAGAGAAAGGAAGTGAGGTCTGGGGTCCCTGGCTCGGCTCTCCACTTCTGGACTCCGAGAAGCCTTCCATCACCAGGGGGCAACCACGGGGATAATTAGTGGTTAAGCATCTGTTTTGCCTATGAGATGATTAACACACCTTTCTCTCCCCAGTACCCAGAATATACTGAGTACTGAAAACACAAGGAATCAAAAAATGACTGAAAAAACACTCCATCGGGCAAGGATTGGACTCTTCAATCTCTGAGGGTCCTCTGAGCTGTAAAATTCTGAGGCTGTTCCTAATTGGGAGAAGGACAGGATGAACTCTATCTTCCAATTTCTTCCTCTGGGTTTCCTATTTTATTTGCTTTGTTCAAGCAACATCACAGTCATCCTTAACGGTAAAATAATCATAAAAGGGTCAATCCTGGGCTCTGGGTAAAGCAAACCCTATTTAGGTATTTATTTATTTATTTTTTAAGATTTTATTTATTTATTTGAGAGAGAGAGAATGAGAGAGCACATGAGAGGGGGGAGGGTCAGAGGGAGAGGCAGACTCCCTGCCGAGCAGGGAGCCCGATGCGGGACTCGATCCCGGGACTCCAGGATCATGACCTGAGCCAAAGGCAGTCGCTTAACCAACTGAGCCACCCAGGTGCCCGGTATTTATTTAATTTTTAAAGTTACTTATTTATTTGTTTGTTTATACAGCACCATCAGTTCCTTACTCAAATGTTATTCCACGGACGTATTTATGTAACTGAAACCCCCCCACCCCACCACTTCCCTTTTGGTCCCATTCACTCCCCTTTTATACTTGGTCTCAGCACTCTCTAACATACTAATGGATGTTTTCTTTATCTTGCTTATACCTATCCACTTTTTCAGAAGGTAAGCTGCATTATTTTGGTCACTGCTCTTTCTCCAGTGCCCAGAAGAGTTCATGACATGTAGCAGGCACTTAATAGAGATTAAAAAAAATATATATATATATATACATGTATGTATTATAAATATATAGTATTATTTATATAAATATAATATATAAATATTATAAAGATATATATTTATAATTATATGTACACACACACACACACATATATATAAATGACCGAATGAACAGTTCATAAAGACACATCCTGTATTATATTAGCTGAGAGCCTCATTACTACTCACCAAGCACATTCATTCATACATTCAACGAATACTTATTGAGCATCTGCTACGTGCCAGGCACAATTCCATATATTAAAGACACAGCAGTGAACAAAGTCCCTGCTCTCGTGAAGCTGATATCATAGGTGGGAAGACAGATAATTCACCAACCAACAGATATGTGCATCATGTGTCAGCTGGTGATTGATACTGTTAAGAAAAACATGGCGGGGGG